TAAACAAAAACATTTTATTCTAGCTTCATGCATTCTTTTTTTAAACACTTGAATGTGGATAAGTTTCATAAATAAAAAATATAATATATATATAATAAAATAAATAAAAGCGTCTGCTAAATGTCTAAATGTAAATGTAATAACTACTAACACCCTATTTTATTTTTATTTATTTATTTTACTATTTATCTGTCACTATTTGTTTTGTTTGTATATGCTTTGGCATTACTGCATGCAAAACAATAGCCCCTTTGACACAGTAATACCAGTAGATGGTAAATAACATTAAGAATGTACCAACGTCTTTTCATTGCAGCTTTGCAGTCGCTTTTGAGAATCTGCTGGAATGGGACGTAAAATAGCTCACATGCACGCGCACATCCCCAGTTAACACGATCCCCAGTTGATCCATAACACCGGTAATCTTCATTCTGCGTTCCCACAGAGCACATTCCCGGTAATTTACTGGTAATGTTACAACTTCTCATACCAGTAAATTGCCGGAACGAATTTACCGGTATTTTTGAAAAGGTCCTGTTCACACATGAGCTCTTTACGGCAATTTACCAGTAATTTTCCAGTAAAGTCTGTATGTGTGAAAGGGGCTATTTACTCCGCGCTTTGTAATACGGTTTGAAGTCGTGTAATATGATGTCTCTGGGCCAAAAGCACTGCATTAATAATGTAGGACGTAAAATAGCTCACATGCACGCGCACATCCCCAGTTGATCCACAACACCGGTAATCTTCATTCTGCGTTCCCACAGAGCACATTCCCGGTAATTTACTGGTAAATGTTACAACTTCTCATACCAGTAAATTGCCGGAACAAATTTACCGGTATTTTTGAAAAGGTCCTGTTCACACATGAGCTCTTTACGGCAATTTACCAGTAATTTTCCAGTAAAGTCTGTATGTGTGAAAGGGGCTATTTACTCCGCGCTTTGTAATACGGTTTGAAGTCGTGTAATATGATGTCTCTGGGCCAAAAGCACTGCATTAATAATGTAATGCATGACATTCTTGTCTACTCCTGCTCCGGCGTCGAAACAATGGCGTTCGGACTGTTATAGCTCACTCAGGGCGGGTCTAAGGTAAGACGGCCATGATGACCCCTTTAACAATAGTTTTTATCTATTGTTAACTGTGATGTTTGAACATCTGAATTTCTTTCAGCAACCAGATTTTCTCGTTATGTCTTGCTGGCAGTGTTTATGATGGGTAAGATTTATTGCTAGTGCTTGATTGCATGTGATAATTATCACAAATGAATAAACAAGCAATTTCTCTCTCTCTCCTCTTTCACTTCAGTTTATCATTCTTTCTATCTCACCCATTGTGTCATTCTGTAAAGGTCATTAGTGTGAGAGTGGGTGGGTAGCAACAGGTTGTGTGTTTTTCCCCTAATCCATGAGGTTATAGGAGTGTGGTGTTTGGGTGTTTTTGGATGCATGTGTTCTTCTTCCAATTCAGCCTCTGAAGGGAGACATGAATCAGCGCCAGCAGATGTTCATAAAAAAATGACTCTGTAAAAAAATAAAATAAAGATGAAAAAGAGTTGGAAGGAAGAAAAAAGGGAATAATATTTAAAAACACAAGGGAAAGAGAAAAATATGCACAGCCTCACAAAACATGAACGTCACTCTTTGTTAAACCTAAACGGGCGGCTTAAACTCACTGTTTGTGCTTGTGCTTATAATGCATTGTGCAGTCTCATGAATAATTGTAACCACAGTTGATACATTCTAACTCTTATCAATTCATTGTTACCTGCACATTTTGAATTCAGTTATAATTATCTACAACAAGATATAATGTATTACAACGCACATTATGAAAAGGCCTAATTATAATGCATTATACTCTTTAATAACCCTTTATAATGCATACATAAAGGCTTTAAGTAAAGTGTTAGCAAAAAATCTATACATACACTCAATAAGATTCCAAAAGAATCTTATTGCAGAGATGCCATAGAAAAACAATTCTGGGTTCCCCAAAGAACTTTTCAATGAACAGCTCTCCAAATAATTTTTTGAACTGTATCTTAAATGTCCGTTATTGTGTATATTAAAATCTTGTTTATGTAATTGTATGAAAGAAATATCACAGGAGAAAGTATCTTTACTGAACTGAATATCAGTATGGCTGTGATTCGGCTGTGGCCTTGAGGTGCAGGTAATCAGCTGTCATTATATTCTTAATTATATATTTTTCTGAATGGTGACTCAAACGTTTGTCTGTCTTACTTGATGACAACAAGTTAACCTACCCTTATGACCCCATTAACTGGGGTAATTGTGTTGAACTAGAGTTCTTGTTACCTGAATGCTGTTTAGAGTTCTCTGTTGTTAATATGTGACACCAATTAAAGCGTGCAAGGCCAGTGTATCCCATCCACAAATGACAGTGTTGACAGTACTTGACACTCTCACAGCATTAGTTGAGGGTGTTTCACAAGAGTGAAAATCACGTTAATGCAGAGCTCAAACACAAAGCACACAGCTGAAACATTCATGCTATCAAGATTAATGTAATAATGTTTTGATATTCATAATGTTCAATGGTCATTTTCATCATTGAGCATATCTTTGAAACAACATGAATCAAAATGGTCTCTGTTTATTTTCTTAATATATATTCCTGCCCCCTGGTCTTATTGTGAACAATTCATTGGTGCATTATATTGCAAAGAAAACAATATCTGTCTTCTTAATATTTCATCAAAACATAATAACTTGCTTTGTTTCTCAAATGACTTTCCGTTTTCAGCTGACAGTACCAAGGAGGTCTATAATACTTGGAGAAAGCTATCCGTTGCCATTCCCATTCATCTCAATGGCAGTTCTTTGGCTGTCTGCCGTCTTTTCTCATGGGCACTCAGTTCTGGAGACTTTTTTTAGCCAATCACATGAGCCATAAATTTCACGTGACTAACTCTGCGCCACAAAAAAAAAAAAGTCCTGACATGCTACTCTGGGTTGTGTTTCCCAAAAGCAATGTTAGCCAAATATGATTGCAAGTTCCACTGTTTCTAACACAGTTCAACATTCAAACCATGGTTTTACTGAACATTCACGAACAGAATCACAAACTGGTGTTCATGTAACTACAGCTCTACCTTACATCTTCATTCCATTTAAAGTGTTAGTCCACCCAAAAATGAAAATTAGCCCATGATTTACTCACCCTCGAGGCATCCTAGGTGTATATGACTTTCTTCTTTCAGATGAATCCAATTGGAGTTATATTAAAAATGGTCCTGGCTCTTCTAAGCGTTATCATTGCAATGGGTGGGTGCTTCTGTTCACCAGTCCAAAACACGTTAAATAAAGCGTGCACATCCACAATAAAACGTGCCTCAGACGGCTCCGGGGCGTGAATAAAGGCTTCCTGTGGCGAATCCATGCGTTTTTCAAAAAAAAATATCCATATTTCAAATGTAAATAACACTTTTCTCTCACTTCCGGTATCTCTCGTGCATGGAAGCCGTTCTGGCGAATGACGTAGGACGTATGCGTCACGCGCACGCCTCTGGATATGCTAGTCTCGTGAGTTTGTTTAAAGGAGCAAAGGAAGCAAAGTTTCCTTACTTTAGCAAAGGAAAACCAGTCTCCTCTTGGCTTATATCGAAATCATCTGACATTTTTCTTTACAAATCCTCAGTTTGTACTTCTAATTCACGACCGGTGTTTTGTTTTGTTCTCTCTCCGCGTCATCTGCCGGAACGAATTCCGCGTACCACAGTTAGATGAAGTGAGAGAGAAGTGTTTACTACATTTGAAATATAGATATTTTTCTTACAAAAATGCATGG